TGCCACACGGCTCTCAATAAACATTAGTCACTGATATTATTCTATCCTTCAAGTGCCCTTCAAGTGGATTTGAGATGGGTGTTCTTTTTCATGGTAAAGATGCAGCCTTCCTGGTTTCTTAAGGTTATTTTTTTCTTAATTAGTAATGGGTGTTGAATTTACTAAGCCTTTTTGGAATCTGTTGAGATGATCATTTTTTCTTTTGACCCATTTCTGCACTGAATTATGATTCTGTATTAGAGGTAATGATATGGATCTCAATGGGACATGGCAGCTTCTTTTAATAAATTGTGCCTTGGTAGATATGACTTGAAATCTTGACTGGTCAGTTGCTCATGAGAGGATCTTTCATCCGTCGGCCTGGGGTAGATAAGCCTGTTCACCAGCCTTCTGGCAGGTGTCTCGGCCTTCTCCTCAGTGCCCAGTGTCTGGGCGCAAAGCCATAATCTCCCCTCCTCTGCCCTCACAGCAGCAGGGCAGTGGCCTGGCTGTAGGGTTGGGAGAAAGCTCTGCAGATCTAGCTGCTCCTTCTAGAAACTCTAACATCACTGACTGAGCTTCTCCCTGCCCCTCTCACCCCACCAGGCTCCCTGGTGCCTCTGATTCCAGAGCCATTCGAAGAGTCTGTGGCCAGAATCTGCCTTCTTCTCATTACTGACACCCTCCTTCAACCCGCAGCCAGTCACATTCCAGCTTTCTCTTCTCCTCCAATACCCCTCTTCCGGCAGCCTCCCTTCCTCCAGAAATAGGTCTCTATTCATTGTCTGCCACTAAGTCTTAGCCCTTTCTCGCGGTATTTTGACTTTATATGTTTCATCCACTTACTTCCAATTTCGTGGTGACCCCAGAGGAAGTAAGCACATGTTTGATCCACATGTTATGTGAAAGGTCTACTATGACTTGGGCCCTTTGTCAATATTAAATGATTCACTTTGTCTCATTTCAGATCCTTTGCCTTGGAGTTACCCTCTCCGGTATTAATATCTTCAGACCAGCATCTGCCTGTGATGTATCTGAACGTCTTCATTTTCATATAAAATGTTTCTGTCCCTGTGTTCTGGGGTAGGCTTGCAAACGCAAATAGGACTAGGTCTTATTTGAGAATGAGAAATCTTTATTGTAGTCATTTTTAAAAATTACAATGTCTAGCCTATTTCCAGTGATTTTCAATAGTAACACAATCAGTCCTACTTCCATGCTTCTGTCACCTTGCTCTACAATTTTGGTGATTTTCTCCCTGCTTTTTCTTTCCCATCCCTTTTGTTGTAGGAGCTGCATTTTCTTGCTTTTTTATTTTCTGCATTTTGAAAGCTATCTGTCCTGTTTTTAATTCTTCATTTTGCTTTTCTCTAGTAGCGTAAATGAGTAGGCAGTTCCTTGTGGGAAAGAATTTTCTGTGCATTTACTATACTTCTTCCCTCCCCTTCTTCCTCTGTATTACCAACTCCTCTGTCTTTGTTAATTTAGTCTGGGATTTGGGGTTTAATTTATCAAATTATTCATTTTTTAAAACTTTATTGAAGTATACATTATTAATTGTTATATCTTCATAAAGAAAAATGTTGATGTTTGAAGCTAATTTATTAGTTATCTGGACTCAGCCCTTTGTCCAATCCCAGTCACTGTCCTTTTTGGCACAATTTCTCCCTCCCTGAGTTCTTTCACACCATCTCTTAGGTCCTTGCTATCATTTCCAAGGAACTTTTTAAAGAGGGAGGTGGATTCCCTTTCAGTCTGTTGCACGTCTTTTAATGCTTCACACAGATTGGCTAAATACTAAGTATTGGGAGTCCCAAATTTTTTCCTGCAAAATTCTGGATGACGACCTGTGGTTTTCTAGCACTTCATGCTGCTACAAAGTCCTTGTTTGGCTTGAATTGGTAGAAAAGGCTGCTTTATTCATTCTGGGTATCTATAATATGGAACTTTTGCATTTTCTGCAAAATTTTAAATGATTCATGTTTGTATAGATAGATGATGGGTGGATGGATGGGAGGATTCCTGATGTGGGCTTTATTTTGTAAGGACTAAGCTAGCCTTTGATCTGCCCACATAGCCATCTTTCATCTCTGGAAATGTCTCTTTAATGAGAGCTTGGCCTATAGCTCTGTCCACTTTGTTTCGGGTCCCTTCTTCAGTAGCATCACCAACTGAACACTGCCTCTGGCTTCCAGGTACCTTCTTACTCATCAGCTCAATCTCATGGACGTTTACTTGAGAAGCCCAAGACCCGGCTCAAGTTTTTTCTGATTTTTAATTTCTACATCCCTAATTCTACTCTTTCCTGCTGTCAGTGTAACTTACAGATGCATTCTTAGTCTCTGCAGTACCAGCCTGCCTCATCCATACCCAGTTTTTTCTTATCCTGTTGTCTTCCCATGTCATCCTGTTGTCTTCGCATGCAAGCCTGTGCTCACCTCTTGATCTTCTGCTCAGGTGCCCCCTCAATTCCCTCATTACACTTGTTCTCCTTTCCCTTCACCCCACCCTGTAATGATGTATTTATTTGTCCTTCACTAGATCAGAGGTTCCAGGAGGGCAAGTGCTATATCTATTTAGAGCCATGACCTTAGTGCCTAGCACAATGGCTGGAAAACAGTATGTGCTTAATAATTATTCATTGAATAAGTATATGCCTACATTATGGACTGGATTCCCTTTGGCTATACCAACATTGTTTTGAGCCAGAGGCTCCCAAACTTCAGTCACTAAAGAATCACCTTTTTTCCATACTCATGTACTATTTGTGCTATTACTTACTAAGCAGTTGTCTTTAGATCAATTCACATTTTCTATGCTCAGTACGTATTTAAGCTTCATCCTAAGCAATAAAATCTGTTAAATAAAGATGATTTCTTAGTTCCAACTTTCTAAAATAGGTTAAAATAAACAGATAACTGTAAAAAAGTGTAAGTTCCACCCATGGTCCACTTGCACACCACAGGTGATACATGACTGCACCTCAGGAAACCCTTTCTAAAGAGCTCAGGCTGCTGCATTTCCTCCAGGAACCTGGGTCTTCTGTATTTATTCCCATATTATTCATTTGAAAAACATGAGTCATTCTTTTTTGGCTGCCTGTGATAGAATGGCACGGTGACAAGGACTGAAGATACCTCAGTCAGCAAGGACATACCATCCTTCCTGATGAGGTTTGTGGACTAACTGGGGGGAAAGGCAATAGATAAACAGATATGCAAGATCATTACAGATTGTGCTTAGAGCTTTGAGGGAAATAAACCAGGCAGTACAGAGAGTGACATTTGAGAGTGGTGGCATTGGAACAGAGACCTGAGGATGAGAAGGACTGAGCCATGGAGAGAGCCAGGGGAAAGTGCTCCAGGCAGAAAGAACAGCAGAGGCCTGGCAACAGGAACAGGTGGGACTAACAGGTTTAAGAGTGTCCGCTAGCTCATCCTGCTCGGCATCCTGAGTGCCTTCCAGAAGTGACTTGCAGAGCTGGGCCATTCTACAGCATAGCCTGGACAAGAATCCAGAATTGTAGAGCTTGGGCAGACCTTGGACCCTATAGAAGTATAGTTGACTCAACCATGCATGCGGCTGTAGATACCGGAGGCCTGGATGACTCTTGAGCAGCTGGTTTCCCAGCATCACTGTCCACCGCTCTCCTTGCCTCTGGCATGATCAGAAAGCCAATCCCTGCTAACCCTTTGTCGCCATGGAGTTTCATACACCTGTATCTGGAGACAAAATGGGAACGACACCTGTAAGTGGCTAATTTCTCTCAGGGAGGCAAAATCTTTGTCTTGCTTAACTAAATGAGACTCACAGCCTGGACATTGCCAGCCCAGGTACTAGCGTCCAAATGCTTTGGTTTATATCCTGCCTTTCTGCAGCTTCTCTCCACCAAATTTCCATATGTGAATAATAAGGTGAATACGGATTCAACCTAGTGATGTTATGGTGAGATTTAAATGAACGAATGCATGTGAAAGTACTTAGAACTGGACCTGCCACACGGCTCTCAATAAACATTAGTCACTGATATTATTCTATCCTTCAAGTGCCCTTCAAGTGGATTTGAGATGGGTGTTCTTTTTCATGGTAAAGATGCAGCCTTCCTGGTTTCTTAAGGTTATTTTTTTCTTAATTAGTAATGGGTGTTGAATTTACTAAGCCTTTTTGGAATCTGTTGAGATGATCATTTTTTCTTTTGACCCATTTCTGCACTGAATTATGATTCTGTATTAGAGGTAATGATATGGATCTCAATGGGACATGGCAGCTTCTTTTAATAAATTGTGCCTTGGTAGATATGACTTGAAATCTTGACTGGTCAGTTGCTCATGAGAGGATCTTTCATCCGTCGGCCTGGGGTAGATAAGCCTGTTCACCAGCCTTCTGGCAGGTGTCTCGGCCTTCTCCTCAGTGCCCAGTGTCTGGGCGCAAAGCCATAATCTCCCCTCCTCTGCCCTCACAGCAGCAGGGCAGTGGCCTGGCTGTAGGGTTGGGAGAAAGCTCTGCAGATCTAGCTGCTCCTTCTAGAAACTCTAACATCACTGACTGAGCTTCTCCCTGCCCCTCTCACCCCACCAGGCTCCCTGGTGCCTCTGATTCCAGAGCCATTCGAAGAGTCTGTGGCCAGAATCTGCCTTCTTCTCATTACTGACACCCTCCTTCAACCCGCAGCCAGTCACATTCCAGCTTTCTCTTCTCCTCCAATACCCCTCTTCCGGCAGCCTCCCTTCCTCCAGAAATAGGTCTCTATTCATTGTCTGCCACTAAGTCTTAGCCCTTTCTCGCGGTATTTTGACTTTATATGTTTCATCCACTTACTTCCAATTTCGTGGTGACCCCAGAGGAAGTAAGCACATGTTTGATCCACATGTTATGTGAAAGGTCTACTATGACTTGGGCCCTTTGTCAATATTAAATGATTCACTTTGTCTCATTTCAGATCCTTTGCCTTGGAGTTACCCTCTCCGGTATTAATATCTTCAGACCAGCATCTGCCTGTGATGTATCTGAACGTCTTCATTTTCATATAAAATGTTTCTGTCCCTGTGTTCTGGGGTAGGCTTGCAAACGCAAATAGGACTAGGTCTTATTTGAGAATGAGAAATCTTTATTGTAGTCATTTTTAAAAATTACAATGTCTAGCCTATTTCCAGTGATTTTCAATAGTAACACAATCAGTCCTACTTCCATGCTTCTGTCACCTTGCTCTACAATTTTGGTGATTTTCTCCCTGCTTTTTCTTTCCCATCCCTTTTGTTGTAGGAGCTGCATTTTCTTGCTTTTTTATTTTCTGCATTTTGAAAGCTATCTGTCCTGTTTTTAATTCTTCATTTTGCTTTTCTCTAGTAGCGTAAATGAGTAGGCAGTTCCTTGTGGGAAAGAATTTTCTGTGCATTTACTATACTTCTTCCCTCCCCTTCTTCCTCTGTATTACCAACTCCTCTGTCTTTGTTAATTTAGTCTGGGATTTGGGGTTTAATTTATCAAATTATTCATTTTTTAAAACTTTATTGAAGTATACATTATTAATTGTTATATCTTCATAAAGAAAAATGTTGATGTTTGAAGCTAATTTATTAGTTATCTGGACTCAGCCCTTTGTCCAATCCCAGTCACTGTCCTTTTTGGCACAATTTCTCCCTCCCTGAGTTCTTTCACACCATCTCTTAGGTCCTTGCTATCATTTCCAAGGAACTTTTTAAAGAGGGAGGTGGATTCCCTTTCAGTCTGTTGCACGTCTTTTAATGCTTCACACAGATTGGCTAAATACTAAGTATTGGGAGTCCCAAATTTTTTCCTGCAAAATTCTGGATGACGACCTGTGGTTTTCTAGCACTTCATGCTGCTACAAAGTCCTTGTTTGGCTTGAATTGGTAGAAAAGGCTGCTTTATTCATTCTGGGTATCTATAATATGGAACTTTTGCATTTTCTGCAAAATTTTAAATGATTCATGTTTGTATAGATAGATGATGGGTGGATGGATGGGAGGATTCCTGATGTGGGCTTTATTTTGTAAGGACTAAGCTAGCCTTTGATCTGCCCACATAGCCATCTTTCATCTCTGGAAATGTCTCTTTAATGAGAGCTTGGCCTATAGCTCTGTCCACTTTGTTTCGGGTCCCTTCTTCAGTAGCATCACCAACTGAACACTGCCTCTGGCTTCCAGGTACCTTCTTACTCATCAGCTCAATCTCATGGACGTTTACTTGAGAAGCCCAAGACCCGGCTCAAGTTTTTTCTGATTTTTAATTTCTACATCCCTAATTCTACTCTTTCCTGCTGTCAGTGTAACTTACAGATGCATTCTTAGTCTCTGCAGTACCAGCCTGCCTCATCCATACCCAGTTTTTTCTTATCCTGTTGTCTTCCCATGTCATCCTGTTGTCTTCGCATGCAAGCCTGTGCTCACCTCTTGATCTTCTGCTCAGGTGCCCCCTCAATTCCCTCATTACACTTGTTCTCCTTTCCCTTCACCCCACCCTGTAATGATGTATTTATTTGTCCTTCACTAGATCAGAGGTTCCAGGAGGGCAAGTGCTATATCTATTTAGAGCCATGACCTTAGTGCCTAGCACAATGGCTGGAAAACAGTATGTGCTTAATAATTATTCATTGAATAAGTATATGCCTACATTATGGACTGGATTCCCTTTGGCTATACCAACATTGTTTTGAGCCAGAGGCTCCCAAACTTCAGTCACTAAAGAATCACCTTTTTTCCATACTCATGTACTATTTGTGCTATTACTTACTAAGCAGTTGTCTTTAGATCAATTCACATTTTCTATGCTCAGTACGTATTTAAGCTTCATCCTAAGCAATAAAATCTGTTAAATAAAGATGATTTCTTAGTTCCAACTTTCTAAAATAGGTTAAAATAAACAGATAACTGTAAAAAAGTGTAAGTTCCACCCATGGTCCACTTGCACACCACAGGTGATACATGACTGCACCTCAGGAAACCCTTTCTAAAGAGCTCAGGCTGCTGCATTTCCTCCAGGAACCTGGGTCTTCTGTATTTATTCCCATATTATTCATTTGAAAAACATGAGTCATTCTTTTTTGGCTGCCTGTGATAGAATGGCACGGTGACAAGGACTGAAGATACCTCAGTCAGCAAGGACATACCATCCTTCCTGATGAGGTTTGTGGACTAACTGGGGGGAAAGGCAATAGATAAACAGATATGCAAGATCATTACAGATTGTGCTTAGAGCTTTGAGGGAAATAAACCAGGCAGTACAGAGAGTGACATTTGAGAGTGGTGGCATTGGAACAGAGACCTGAGGATGAGAAGGACTGAGCCATGGAGAGAGCCAGGGGAAAGTGCTCCAGGCAGAAAGAACAGCAGAGGCCTGGCAACAGGAACAGGTGGGACTAACAGGTTTAAGAGTGTCCGCTAGCTCATCCTGCTCGGCATCCTGAGTGCCTTCCAGAAGTGACTTGCAGAGCTGGGCCATTCTACAGCATAGCCTGGACAAGAATCCAGAATTGTAGAGCTTGGGCAGACCTTGGACCCTATAGAAGTATAGTTGACTCAACCATGCATGCGGCTGTAGATACCGGAGGCCTGGATGACTCTTGAGCAGCTGGTTTCCCAGCATCACTGTCCACCGCTCTCCTTGCCTCTGGCATGATCAGAAAGCCAATCCCTGCTAACCCTTTGTCGCCATGGAGTTTCATACACCTGTATCTGGAGACAAAATGGGAACGACACCTGTAAGTGGCTAATTTCTCTCAGGGAGGCAACAGGGAATTGAGGAGGCACAGGCCTGTGCTCACTCCAACAGCTGCAGTCCAACCACCTCCCACTAGGGGGCACTGTTATGCTGCAGGAAGTAGGGCAGGCTTGTGGCACTCAGCCCTGCAAAATTTAGTACCCCAGGTGACTCCCAACTGTGCGATTGTAAAGCTTGCGTTAAAAAAATAAAATTAACTCCCTGACTCATCCAGTCATTGTCTTAGGAGTTTGCAGATGCCTGGGAAGCATTCAGAACTAGTGGAGACTCACAGGTCCTTAGAACGGATCTGGGCACCGGTGGGAGGTGGGGCCACTGTGAACACTACAGGCAGGGAACCCAGGGAGGGGTAGGCGGAGGTCCCCGGGTTGGAGAAGCTGGCATGAGAAGGCCATGGGGGCTGGCCAATTCCATCCTCAGCCTGGCGTTGGTCAGTGTGGAAATCTTTATGAGTTTGGCAGCTGGATACCGCAGATGTTCCATTCTAACGGTTTCTGTACTTCTGTGGCATATGCGGCAAGCTCACCTGCTGAAAGGAGCAGGAAAGGGCAGGCTTTGATCATTAGCAGAGTGGAAAAGATCTGGAATAGCCTTTCTGCAAAGCGGGAGAGTGAGTTGGCCGAAGGAACATGGCGGAGTGGCTGGCTGAGAGGAGGCCCCGTTTGTGTTGGTGATCAGGTATTTGTAGTGGAGCCAACCTGCCAATTTCAGAAGTTCTGAACACTGTCCTTCCTCCCCTTTTTTTATTTCACTTGAATTGACTTGAGAGATGCTAAGGGGGATGCAGACCCCCTGAGCCCCCACTTTGTACCATCACTGGTGGTCTTGGTACTACTTGGTAGCCCCCAGGTACCATCTTGCTTCCTGGATGTTGATGTCGCCGGGGAGTATCACCCAAGGGCAAGCTGGCTTGGAGTGGATGCTAGAAACTAGAGCCTCATTAGAGAAAAGCACTGAGCTTTCCCTGCAGCTCTGACTACAGGTGAAGAAGCTGTGGGGGGTCCTGACCTGGCTGAGACGGATGTCAGAAGAGACCGGTTAGGAGGGTATCAGTTGGGTTTGGCTACAGATCAGATGTAGGTGTTGCTCGGGCAACTGGTGGAAGGTGGGACCATTAACTGAGACATATAGAGATAAGGGTCAAGTCAAGGAAAAGTAACTGAAATATGTGTGGAGCAGGACTTACTAGAATGGTAAAACAGAGACTAAGAATGTTGGTTCCCAAAGCCAAGAAAAATCACATTTCTAGCAAAGTGGGGAGTAGGGATAGGCAAGGGCCTCAGATGCCACAGAAGGTGTGACGTTACTGGGACCAAAACTGGGACTGGCAGTTGGGGGTATGCCGTGTCAGAGGGTGATGGGGTGGGAGGCAGATGCGACAAGTTGAGGATGAATGTGAGGAGAGCAAGTGGAGCCCCTGTGCTTTATTTCAAGACCTTTGTGAAGAAAAGGAGATACATAGGGCAGGAGCCAGAAAGAGTAAGGATGCATGACTGGCTTTTTGAAAATGAAAAAGACTTGAACCATACAGCATGGAGACTAAAGGTAATAACCCTGTGAAGCATAGTTGAAAGTTGCTAAGAGAGTAAATCTTTAAAGTTCTCATCACAAGAAAAAAAAATTTATAACTGTGCAGTGATGGACATTAACTAGACTTATCATGGTGGTCATTTTGCAATATATGCACATAACGAATCATGTTGTACACCTTGAAACTAATGTAATATTATATGTCAATTATATCTCAATAAAATTAAATAAACTAAGGAGAAAAAGACTTAAACTAAAAGAGGGGAAATTAATTGGAGAAAGATTAATGCACTGATGGTGGGCACAGTGCTTTTGAGTTACATGAGATTCTCACATGTGCATCCAACTTGGGCCACGCAACAGCCAGGTGAAGTCCGCATCATCACCATCTATGCGTTGTGATGACCAAGGTACTAGGAATGTCACAAGGCCAGGAAATGGAAACGCTGGGCCTTAAAATTGGGTTTTTGGAATTCAAATCCTCCCCAGTTCCCCACCCACCCAATGAGTCAGCTCCACCCGAATGCAGTAAACATTCACTGAGTATGCAGTTGTGCCAGTATCACCAGGATTTCAGCTGAAAGACCTTGCTACTCAAAGGGTGGTCCATGGACCAGCAGGTCAGCCTTAACCTAGAGCCTGTTGGGAATGCAGACTCTTGGGCCCCCCTCCCTAGACTTACCCAATCAGAAGCTGCATTTCAACAAGACCCCCAGGAAGGCACATTGGAGGGTAAGAAACACTGAGTGCAGTGGCTCGCTCTGAGGGAACAGGCTGGGTAGGCTCGGCTGTGGTGAAAGAGCTCAGCCCAGAAAGCCAGGAGAGATCCGGAGTTACCCCCAGAAGGCGCCCTGACAGTGTCCCCATGGTCGGGCCAGGCTAGCTGAAGACGGCACCCGAGGAATTGATGTCCAGTTGCCTGGAGACTCACAGGAGATGTGCATATAGCAGGAAAACATTCCTTCAGTCCCCACGGTCCCCCTGCCCCCTTTGTGACAAGCTGCTTGAGAGCGAGCTAGCTGAACATTCTTGGCCTCCCATATCCTGGCTTCCCACCCACACTTTGCTCCGGCAAACACGCTTCCTCCCCCTCGCTCCACAGCACTGCTTCTGTATAGGCTACCTTCTTCCTCAACAGTATTTTAAACTAACTACAGAGGATACATGCTCGTGGCAAAGAGAAAAAAAAGTCCAGTGAGTGCAGAAAGGTAAAGGTGGAAATAAAATCCCATTCTACAATCCATCCTAGATCCTCCATAGTTATTCTCCAGAGGTAACCAGTGGTAACAGCTTGCAGTGTATCCTAACATATGTGTGCATATTTTGTATGTAAAAAGGTGCATATTGTACTTGCTGTTTGGCAGCTTGCTTTTTTCACTTAGTAAAATATCTTGGACTCTTTTCTGTGTCAATATCTATAGATTCACCTTATTTTTTAACAGACATGTAATAATCTATTATATAGCCTCACTAGAGTTTGTTTAACCAGCCTTCCACTAATGAACATGTAGGTTGCTTCTAGCCTCCTTCGATTACAAACACTGTTACAGCTGTTAGGTTAATGCCAGCTGCTATAACAAACCCCAAGCTAATAGTGTTTTTCTTGCTTACAGTATTCCAAAGGGGTTGTTTTCATACTTGTCACCAGCCTATCCATGTTCCCTCTACCTTTTGGACCTGCTCCCTGGTGGGGCCTTGTTATATAATGAGTTATAAGAAATATATATTTGGTCATTTTAGTTCCTGAAAACACTTCAGAGCCTTCAATGTGAAATGGGTGTCTTGTTATGTTAATGAGAGACTTTTGGACCCCAGCTAGCATCAGAGTTCAGTTCTTGAACACCTCCTGGTGTTCGAGGATCGCTTGGCGTTGTGTGTCGGAAGAACCCATCCGCCCACCACACACACATTGGAACTGGGTCCAGGAGCCTGAAATGAGTTATACTACCTCTGTGTATAGTATTGCTGCTCAAGAGGAAACACATGCCCCCCCATTTTCTGCACTCAGCTAGTGTACAGAACAGACAGTGGAGATGGCCCACACCTGATGTATAAGTACCTTGGCCTGGAGGTAACGCTCTGCACTTCTACTCACTGGCCATGGCAGGAACCAGGCACAGAACCCCACCTGGATGCCAGGGGTGCTGGGAAATGTGGTCCTTGGTCAGGCAGCTACTCTTCAGATGCAGCTGTACTGTAGGGGGAGGAGCAGGTACCTTTGCTCAGCGCCTCCCTATCTCTGCTGCCAATGCTGCAGTAAACATCCTTGCACAGAGGGCTTTACAAACTTGTGCAAATAAATTTCCAGAAGTGGAATTGCTGGGTTAAAGGGCAGGTACATTTTACATTTGAGTAGATACTATCTACCTAACTGCCCTCCTGCAGACTGCACTGATTTACACTCCTCCCAGTATTGGAAAGCACTTAGTTCTACACACTCTCGCCAGCAGTTACTGTTGTAATTTTTTAAAATATTTTTTCCAGTCTTACAGGTGAATGATATTATCTCATTAGGGTTTTAAGTTGCATTTCTTTAATTTTGAGAGAGAGGGAGTATTCTTTCATATATTTGAATTCATAGGTCTTTTACTCTTTACTCTTTTCATGGCCTGTATTCTACTGGCTGGTTCTCTTTTCCTTATTGATTTGCAAGAGCTTTGAAAAAAAAAAAACAAACCTATACACACATATATATCCAAAAATGTATATGAGGTAAACCCTTTGTTTCTTGAACTTACATGTTGCAAACATTCTTCCAGCTAGTCATTTTCCTTCTATTTTCTTTATGGTATTTTTCCAGCCCAGAAACATACATTTTTTTTTATATACTCTAACTTTTCAGTCATTTCCTTCATGATTTTGTCTCATGCTTAGAAAGGCTGTTCTTGTGCCAAGATTTTATATTCTCATGTTTTCTTCAAGTGCTAGAGTCACACTTGAATCCGGATTCTGCAACTTGCTGCATTGCTTGGGCAATTGGTCCTGGAGTCCCAGTTTCCTCAGCACACAGACAGGAAGAGTGAGGGTGCCAGCTTTATCAACTTAACATGAAGCCTGAGAGAGGCAGTTCACACATGGCACCAAGAACCACAGACGGCGCCCAGTCATGGTCCAACAAATGTTAGCTGCTAGCCTGCTTCCGTCCAGGGCATCCGTGGCCATGTCTCAGTCAGCTCAGGCTGCTATAACAAAAATTCCATGGACTGGGCAGCTTATACAATATACATTCCTTTCTCACAGTCTGGAGGCTGAGCATTGAGATCAAGGTGCTGGTCTATGTAGTTACTGTTGAGAACTCTTTTCCTGGTGTCCTGATGGGAGCTTCTGTTGTGTCCTTGTGCGCTGGAGAGGGAGAGATCACCTCTCTCATTTCTCTTCTTATACACTAAGCCCATATGTGAGGGCTTCACCCTCATAATCTAAT